GGCTAAACGCAGTGGCAAATTGGGGTTGTAGTGCGTCAGCACTTTCTCTGACGTTATCAGTTGCTTTGCTGCCATGAACGCCTGTTCGCAGGACTTCGACCATCTCCATACAGTTTTCACTTGTAACAGACTGTTCAATGGATGTAACACCGTCGCGATGTTTGGCAAAAATTTGCCGTAATAATTGACAAGGCCCAAAAAGGAGCGTAACTGACTAACATTCTCGGGCCTGGGTGCCTTCAAGACTGCATCCACCTTATCTTGTGCCTTGTGAAGACCATCTTTGTCGATCTTGTGACCGCAGTACTCAATTGAGTCCTTGAAAAACTCACATTTTTCTTTGTTCACTCTGAGTCCAAAGTCTGATAGCCTCTTTAAGACTGTCTCAAGGTTGGTCAGATGTGTGTTTTCATCACTGCCTGTCACAAGAATATCGTCTAAATAGCACTGAGTGCCAGGGATGTCTTGAAGAACTTGGTCTATAGCTCTTTGCCATACAGCAGGGGCTGACGCTATCCCAAAAACCAGACGGTTATATTGAAACAACCCCTTATGGGTGTTAATGGTTAGATATTTCTTTGATGAGTCTTCCAACTCCATTTGGAGGTAGGCCTGCGCTAAGTCAATCTTAGAGAAATGCTGGCCACCAGCCAATGAGGCAAAGATATCCTCTATCCGGGGTAGCGGATACTGGTCTGCTTGGAGCACTGGATTTATGCTGACTTTAAAGTCGCCACAGATGCGTAAAGCACCACTCTTCTTTACGACCGGCACAATGGGTGTGGCCCACTCTGACCACTCCACCTTTGACAAGATACCTTGGTCCTCAAGGCGCTTGAGCTCTGCTTCCACCTTTGGGCGTAATGCATAAGGCAGGTTACGGGCTTTGTGGAATTTTGGTTGAGCATTTTCAGTTAAAACTATTTTGGCTTTGATCTGTGCCAGCGTTCCAATTCCATCTTGAAAAACTGGGGCGTAGCGATCCAGTACGTTCCTCAGTCGTTCTGGGGTAGACTGAGTGCTTTCGCTGGACATCTCCATCACTTTGATTGATTTCCAGTTAAGCTGGATGCTACGCAGCCACTCTCGTCCAAATAATGGCACATTGTCACTTTGCACCACATACAGATCCAGTACTCGCTTTGTTTTCTCATATTTGACTTTCACCTTTAATTTCCCCATTGGGGAGACTTTTTCTCCTGTATAAGTCTTCAGTGTGACTGGGGTATGTTTCAGTTTCAATTTGCCAAATTTGTTCTTGTAATCTTTGTAGGATATGATTGACAAGGCTGACCCAGTGTCTAACTCCATTTTGAGTTTCTGTCCCTCAATTTCAGGTGTCACCCAAAAAACATTTTGTCTGTTTCCTTTTACTGAGTGAAGCTCGAGGCAAGCCAATTCCTGCTCATACTCATCTGAATTAGACTCATTCAATTCATTGACACTTTTATTTCTCCATTTTACATTCTTTTTGTTTCGTTTTGCACACTTTTTGGATATGCCCCCTTCTGTTGCACTGGTTACAGTCTTTGTCTTTGAACCAACATTCATCGGGGCTGTGGGATTTCTTTCCACATCGGAAACAAGCTGTCATCTTTTCAGCACGTTTTGATGTTATTTTGTTTACTGTACATTCGCTAGACGAAGCTGTCTTCTTTTGTAATTCAACTGCATCCTTAGCAGCGGTCTCCACTGAGATGGCTATCTCCAGAGCGCGCGCAAGCGTCAGATCCTTCTCCGTAAGGAGCCGCTTCTGTGTGCCCTCGTGCACGAGACCACACACCAAACGATCACGCAGCGCGTCTGACAGTCCCTCCTTGAACTCGCAATGCTCTGATAGCCTGCGTAATTCAGCCATGTAGTCCGTGACTGACTCATTTTTCTTTTGATTTCTATTGTGAAATCTAAATCTTTCTGCAATGATCAGCGGTTTGGGGTTTAAATGCTCTTGCAGCACTTTCACAATTTCTTCGTATGATTTACTTGCTGGCTTATTTGGTGACATCAAATTCCGAAGTAAATTGTAGGTCTTTGGACCCATTACGCTGAGAAGCACGGCCACTTTCCGATCATTTTCGATTTTATTAGCCACAATGTACTGTTCCACTCTTTTAATGTATGTAGCCCAATCTTCCACTGTACTATCAAACGCACCAATCTGTCCCACAAATCCGGCCATTTTCTTTGAATCCTGACGGTTTCACTAGTTAACACAGTCCTCTTTTATTTCGTGTAACGTTACTTCCGTTTTTTTTTTTTTTTTTTTTTTTTCAGGTTACTCACGACCTCGGATCCTTTTGTTGTCCTCCTCCCTTCTTTGCGAGCTGGACGCTTTTTCTTTTTCTTTTTCCTTGCGTCGCTTGGGGGTAGGCAAAAACAGCCGTGGAAGGTTGAAAGGAGACAATTTTCACTTCCAGTTAACATCCACTTCACGTTAGGTTCGAGACTCGTCGCCAATTGTTGTGTTCTCATCAACAAAATAGACGGGGAAAGTAGCGTGCCATTTAGGGAACTTTTTAATGGCTACTTGAAAAGATTCACTGATACAGCCTTCATTCCTAACTATACATTGTATCAATACGCGCAGTGCGCGACTAATTACTGCCGTATTACTACACAGAAAATAGTTCCTTTTAAACACAACAGGCTCAAACACAGCTGTCAGATGGCTTAGTCTGGTAAAACTACTATGAAGAGTTTGGCATATTAAAGCAGAGATTTTGTGAGAAGAGAAAAACATCCCAAAGCTCTGAAAATAAGGACTGGTTGACAGATTCTGTTACTGTAGATGTAACTGAACTGATGTATGAACTGAACAGATTAAACAAACTCAGAACAGCTGTGGATGAAATGCACAGGATTTCCTCTCCCTCTACCTGCAGTGTAGATAATAGACCCAGAGATGTTCAACTGAAAACCTATTGACCTGCAGCCTGATGTGATCTTTAAGTCAGTGTAACTGCTGGATTATTGCTCTTCTCTTGTTTACTAATGATGTACAAATGTTAAGAACTTTTACTTTTTGTTTACCATGAAATTCTATCAATAAATAATATATTTTGTAAGCCAACCTCACTGTTTCATGTTGCTAAATTCTAACACATACTCCTACTAGTTTACAGCTTGTCTAAACAATTTAATGTTTTTCCAGTGTTTCTTACAAAGAAATACAACTGATATTATCATTGTTGCCAACCTCTGGTTTAGCCTTTTATTAATCTAGATTGTGGGGTATTTTCTAAAAAAAAGAAAAAGAAAAGAAGAATGAAGTAAAGACAGGTTTGTAAAGTAAACGTTACCGTTAGGTGAGAAGTAAAAACACTGGCTCTTTGATATATTGTGTGAAATGCATACAAACTGTTTTGGCCTGTGAATTATTTCCAGTTTGGACATGCAGAGGTGCAAATGACATAACTTTGACTTAACTTTTTTAATATAGTTTCAAGGATATGAAAAGTGTACCCCGCCTCCCGCCTGTAGACAGCTGGAGATGGGCACCAGCACACCACGTGACCCAAGCAGGGATAAAGCGAGACAGAAAATGGATGGATGGATGATATGCAAAGTTTTGTCATTGTTGTTACATTGATAATAAAGGAAATATAAAAGAAGTAGAAAGTAAAAAAAAAAACAAAACGTAAAAATATGATTTTGCATATCCACCTCTCATACTGGGTTACATTTAATGTAGTATTTCTTTGTAGAATGTAGTTCAGGAGCCAGTGTGTAACCTCCTACTAACAGACATGTTAATTTGTGGTGTACCTGTTGCAGCGTTTTTTAATGAACTGTATGTTCATTCACCCTGCGACTAAATACTGCTGCTCATAACAAAAAACTATCGACAATAATCTATTTTCAAATTTATGATACTAAGTAAACTGGAATTACTTCAGTTATGCAACATTAGTATTGAATTTAATACAGTAAGTGTTTGTTGTGTCTAATGGCTGACCTGAAAAACAGAACCAAGCAGACTTTAGTGTTTGTAGCTTAAAATGTTTCCTCCTCCATCTTTAGTGGTTTGTCTGCTCAGAGCTAGTGACGCTAAAGTTCCATGAAGTAAAGAGCAGTTTTACACCTAAATTAGTTCCTCCACCACATCAGGGTGTTAGTGCTGCTGTTGGTCTGACTCACTGACACATTTATGATCACATGCAAGAAGGTGTGAACTGGTTTGAAATTAATTAGGTATCAGGTTTATTATGTTTCTGAAAATCTTCTCTGTCCACAATATGGACACTTTGGTCTTAAAAAGATTGTCTCTCATTCCTAAAGGACAGCCGTAGCTTTTCATACCCCTTTTCAGACATAACATTATTATATATTTAGTTGATTTCAAATACTGTTTAATTTTATTGGATAATTTGGAATAGATTTATTAATTCATTCAATATCCATGCCATTCATGTGGTACTTTCAATCAGGTTGTTTAACAAAAGGATTATTTGCCATTGATACTTTAGTCACTTTGGAAATCAATAACATGAATAACAGCTATAGGCAACAAGTCAAATTTTTTGGTTACACAAATGATATACCTAATCACCTCCTAAATTATACAGTAATTGCATTTCCCCCCCATTTCTTACAAAATAATATATTTTATCCTTTAGATTTGGAAACTGACTAAACAGGAAATAAAACAGCATGATTGGCTCTAAGGAGAGCTGAGACAAAGGACACTCTGAGTTGATAGACGAAAACCTGCTACCGACCAGGTCAGCTCTGGGGAGAATGTTGCTATGGTAAATGAAACAAAGGTTGAGGAAACTCTCTTTGTAAAACGGAAAAGTTTCCCTGAGTTCAGGTTTAGAAAACTTCAGTTTTCAGTAAACCTGCTGAATAAAGTGGACACTAGATCTTTTAAGGCTCGGTAATGTGATATATACAGTATTTATAAAAAAAAAAATAAAAAATTCAGTTAACTGTGTTTGTTTCTTTAAGGACTTCAACTTCCTCAAATGTTTCTTCCGAAACCAGAAGAGAGGATGGTCAAAATAATGCCACCCTGAAAGCTGCTATAAAAAGCAGCTTTGGTTACTGCATGGTTTGCTAGTGCAGGCTTTACTTAAACTAGGAACAGAATCAGGTCCTTTGCTGTATCACAATGTCCTCAGATATTTACTCCAATGTAGATTTAAGCCGGAAGGTGAGATATACCAAAGAGAAGCAAGAAGAAAGAATAAAATGGGAGGAGAGGAATGTAGACATCTATGAGTCTGTAGAAGATGTTGCTGAAGACGACATAGATCATCATCCACAGGAAGAAGGTAAGTAACTTATACCGTAGGTGATAATTAGGCCCGAGCAGCTAAGCGCTGCGAGAGCCTATTGTTCCTGTACCGTTTATTCTTCTTTTTCTTATTTTTCTCCGCTTAAAAGAAACAGCTTTTTGGAGGCTTTAACATGCCCAAAAACTCACCAAACTTGGCAGTAAATTGTCCCCCTAGTGAAATTTACGTGTGATAATGGAATCCAAAATGGGCGTAGCCAAATGGCTCTACAGAAAGTCGCAGAGATTTGAGATTTGGCAGGTGCATAGATCTTACCAAATCATGAAAAAAGTTACATTGTGGGTATGCTCTAAAACCTACAGGAAGTCAGCCATTTTGGGTCAAAGGCCGATTTTTGGCAATTTTTCAATTTTGTTGACGTCGAACTTTCGCGAACTCCTCCTAGGGACGGTGAGCCATCGGCTTCAAACTTGGCATGTATGCAGATAAGGCATGTGAGATCTAAACTTATCAAACTTTTTGAGTTTTTGAGCATTTTAAAGGGGTGTGGCCAGGCCTCGAAGTTGGCGTTCTCGCCAACATTTTTAAAATGCAATAACTTTTACATATGAAACTGAAATGACACCAAACTTGGTAGTATTAATCCCCTCTGGGTTCCCAACAAAACTGTATATGAAAATTTTGACGTGATTGAAGCCACGCCCCCTGAGAACCGGAAGTCACTTTTTTTACTCGGAATGGTCCCTTTCTGTCCTACTTGACCTCATCAACCTAAAACTGTGTCAACAGACAGACAACATGTTGTCCTAACTTCGTTTAAGGCACAGAGAGTTTTAGTCAAATGGTGTTGCTGTGGCGCCATGGCAAAGTGAGGCGTTTCGCCATGAAAATATGATTGGCTCTCATTTCCTCATGTATTATCAGATCTGCACCAAAATCACAAGAGATGATCCTAGTCCAACTCCAAACAGGAATCCAGAGCAATATTTTGTGGGCGGGGCTTAATTTCACTACAGCGCCCCCTAGAAATAACAAACTTCAAACCACCAGCCCCAAGCTAATTTTAGTCCTAGAATATTGAAACTTTGAACACATTTGCATCTCATCAGGCCCTAACTAAAAGCCTCTTGGAGCCATGGTCTAAACCCCACCGAAAGTCGGCCATTTTGAATTACATTTTACTCTGTTGAGAAAGCACTGACCTCTTTTCAAAAAATTGTATAAAATCAGTATTTTATCTAAATGAGCTAAAACTTTCAAAATATGTTCTTTATAAAGCCTGCTGTAAGTTGGTTACAATAGCAAAGCGCTTCTTTAAAGTCCGTCACTCTGATTTTTCAAAAGTTTGCGTTCTCGCCTAGTAGTTGGCCAAGTGGACAGATAATGCCAGGAAATAATTCAGCCCCTAGCCATGCTCGTTCCTAGGATAATGAAATTTGGCACACATCTGTATGAGCCCTCCACCTACAAAAAGTTTCATTGGAGCCATGTTCTAAACCTCTCATGAAGTCGGCCATTTTGAATCAAACAGCACCCTTATGAAAATAGAATCACTATGTTAAAATATTTCTAAAAATTCAGTCGATTTCTCAAAAAAGCTAGGACTTTTGGAATATATTCTTTTAATCGCTACTTGTTTGATGGTAAACACAGCATAGCTCTTCTTAAAAGTCCGTCACTCTGATTTTTCAAAAGTTTGTGTTAACAGGAAATTGTTGTTTTTCAAAAAGTTTTATAGCAATCTTAGCCAAATTTGGAAAATTTATTAATACTTTGATTATAGTTAAGTTTGCCAAGTTTGGCGTAAATCTATGCATGTTTGAGCATCTTATGGGGTATTCAACTGCCTCAGTATATGGCACTTAAGTTTAAAAAATATTTTTTTTCTTTCAATTAATTAGTAAATAATCTAAAACAATTCTAGAATATGCAGGATGCATTCCCCGACATGTGTGATTTTTTTCAGGATTTTACTGCAAACTATGGATTTTTATTGATTTTTTTTGTTTTGAGTAGGGTGTAATACTGCTAACCATGGAGTTTGAAGGTGCTGTTTCTCCTTCTTTTGAACATATACTTTTGAACCACCAACTGAGATGGCCGCAGCGTCTATCTGACAGATGAGATTCGTCCCAGATATTATCTTTTATCCCTATTTTAACCCTTACTGACCAACGCTGTGGTTGTCTTCTGCTGGTCCAGAAGTGAAGCGTGGAGCTTTTTCCGCTGGCTGGGAAGGTGCAAGGGGGCGGCGGTCGCTTGGCTCCCGCGGTCGCAATAGGCCGAGCGGCGCTGAGCTGCGAGCGCCGTCAATACCGCTCGCGGTTTTAATGTAGTTTGTTTCAGGGTTTTTTGAATATGATCAGTATTGCTTGTTATTCATAAGCATTAAATTTGGTGAGGAAAAAACTCATTACACTAAAGCAAAATGATCCTCTGGAGAATTAAAGTTGTATTTTCAACACTGCACTCTGAACATATCAAGAAATGTATCTGTTATTGTTTATGTTATATATTTCAGACCAAACTTTGGCATATTAACTCACCTTTTTAGGATCCAAAAGTCTTATGGGGACCAAAGGCTGGTCCTAATGTGGTGAACCCTGTTTTAAAGCCAGGGAGTCACTGTAGAGGGTGTAGATTAACTTGGTTAGGAATATACTGCTAATAGTTAAATTTCAAGGATAGGCATAAACACAGTAACTGGATATAAGTCAATGTAAAGTAATATTGATAGAAATACAAACTTGTGTATGTGTGTGTAGGTTCTTATATTTTCTACATTGTGGGGCCCATTTTCTGGGAAAATAGCACATTGTGGGGACTGACTGCTCCTTGTAGGGCCTAAAGCCTAGAACCCATACGGAAAATTGCTGTTTTAGGGTCATGTTTAGGACTAAGGTGATCATTTTGTTTTGGTTGGGGTTGGTATGAACACATAATGGTGAGGATCAGGGTCACGGTTAGACTGGAGAAATTAAAGGAAGTCAATAAAAAGACCCAGCAAAGATAGAGAGACAAGTTTGTGTGTTTGTGTGCATCAGAAGGAGGATAATTTTTCTGATTCCAACATCAAATTGGGGACCAGTTTCTGTAGAGTGAGGGTTTTTTTCCCCTAGTCCTGACAATACTTTGGCCAATTATTAAACTGAGTTTAGTTTAGGGTTAAGTTTGCACTGGTAATGGTTAGATTTATGGTTATTGTCAAGACATAGAATATAAACTGTATTCTGTATTTTCATCTCAACTCTAACTCTAACTTTAGATAAACTTTGGGTAAAGCTATAATTTAACATAGACGGTATACTAATAATAGTTTCTGGGTTCTTAGGTTATTAAGCAGCTACCTGTTTAATATTGAGCTTTTCCAGCATTCATGTTTTTTGTGAATCACATAAATGTCTTCTACAATTATTGATATCCTAAGAAATAACTATCTACAAAAAACAATTTACATTATAAAAAAACATGTGTCTTGATGCAATCTCAACATAAAAGATAATTTAAAAGAGTTTCTTTTTAAGGCTATAGAGCAGGCATGCCCAAAGTCGGTCCTTGAGGGCCCCTGTTCTGCAGGTTTTAGAGGTTTCCCTGCTTCAGCACAGCTGATTTCACTGATTGCTGATTAACTAACTTGATTGACTAACCCTAACCCTAACCGACAAATTCATCCTTTTTTATACCCGTTTTGAAGGACGGGTCCGTTGTATCCTTCGTAGCCTTAGATATCCCATGATTCATTGAGAGTCCAAGCAAGCCGGCTTCTCTGTGCTCAGAGGTGAAAGGTGAACCGTGGTGAATATTGTAAGTGCAGTCTAACATAATACAAGTATGTGAATAGTTTAGTCTGAAATTAATGAAAACAGTTGCTTTAAATGGTTATTGAGTAAGATATGGGGTGGATATTTTTGGTTTATTGAAAGGTGTTATCTGTCCCTGTGCAAATGGGTTTGGCTGACATTTATGCAGATTCTAATATCTCTGCAGTGAGGGGAATATAAATATGATATTCATGACGACAGTACTGCTGCTGAAGCTCTTTGTAAATGTGATTAGCACCCAGGACAGTAGAGAGAAGTACAGCAACCATTCTTTGCCTGCTATGTGTGTCAACTGTCATGGTTGCTAGGCGATGGAGTGTATAGGTGGTGAACGCCTTAAATTAAAGCTATTGGTGAAAATTAAGTATATTAGGTCCTTTGATTTACTATTTCCTGCACTGCACTCTCATACTTCACAAAATGTGAAATAATGTCTGTAAAAGCTGAGCTGGCTCTGCCTCCTGTTTCTCCCCAGGTCCGATCAAACGCGATCAAACATTTCAAACATAAAAAGTTCGACACTCATTAGTAGTCAAAAGCAAAGACAGAGTTTGCTGAAATACTTTTTCACAACGTTCACATGTATAAAATACTTGAGTGATGCATGTTTCTTTAAATTCTTCGACTTCCTCAAAAGTTATTCTGGGTAGAAAGAAGGCTGAGCAGGAAGAACTGACACTCGTAGATCTGCTTAATATAAAGTTCAGAAACTTTAGGGGTCAAATCTGTTTTCATAACTGCAGTGAGTTTAGTAGAGCCTCCTTCAACTGTTGGATATTATCAGGATGTCCTTAAGAAGGAGATCCACTCCAAACTTGTTCCAAAAAGTGAGATACAGCATAAAAAAGCAAGAGGACACAGTAGAGTGGGAGAAAGAGAAGGTTTACGTCTACAACTACATAAATGACCTGATGGATGATCCTCAGCTAGAAGAAGAAGGTAAGAAAGGGGATTATATAAACAGGACATACATTGATGTAAGGCAATATGGTAAATGGCCTGAACTTGTTTTAGCTTTTATTAGACCGAGGAGTCCAAAGCGCTTCACACCACATTCACACATTGAGAGTGCTTCACACTAAACATTTAGTGAACATTAAGCTGCACTGTGGCAGCCTGACAAAATCAAGGCTGCTATAGAATTAGTTCAGCTGCTCCCTTTGACCAGCATTTAGCAGAGGTTCAAGCCAGAAACCCACCTGTAACAAAACGAACCCCTACCTCATGTGCTAACATCGCTACATAATTATTTGCAAAATAGTTTACAAAATAAACATCTGCTTTGACTTAAGTTTTTGTAGCTGAAATGTTTCATGCTTCTGTTGAAGGATTTCTCAGTTTAAAGCTATTGAGGAAGATATTCCAAGCTTTAAAACTGTTTAGGATGTGCTGATCTGCAGATCTATATTCACATTCAGATCAGACTCCTTTAACAATAGAGCCTTGCTGTTGTTGGTCACATCAGTGTGAACTGGTTAAAAACTGAATCTCATGTCTTCAACCAAGCATCTTTGGGGATTAACTGTTTTTCCTCCAATATAGAAATCAATTCAATTTTAAGTAAACTAACCTGCATAAACCACATCACTCCATTTTCATTAAGCAATGTTGTCCTTCTGATGTGCCATCCTCTTTCTCAGAGTTAATAAAGTCTTTCTCTGGAATTAGATCATTGTCAGTTATTTATAACAGTTGAAATAAAAAAACTCATTCTGTTCTTTTTATATTTCAACATGTCTCTGTTTATTTTTAGGTAAGAAATCTAAATGTGTTTCTGCTGCTATATGAAAATACTATATTCTATGTTAGAATCTTCAAATTAAATGTTATACTATGGGATGAATAGGTTTATTACTGCTGACTCAGCCAGCCAGAGTAACAATACTGATAACATTACTATTAGCTGTCTCTTTATAAAGTGCTGATTCCCCAAATTTTAACTGTTTAACTAAACTGAAGCTGGAACGAATGCTTCAAGAACAAACACAGATAGAAACACAGCATGAGATAAACCTGCTGTGACTCATGGCTGTGTTAAGACACACCTGAAGCATTTACCTAGACTAAGGAGGTAAAGAACTGTAAACACATTTCAGGGAGCATAACTGGTGGTTATCTACTGTATGTATTCAGTTTTAAATCATCAGTCAACTTACAGGAAATTTCCCAGCTCTTTATGCTTCCAGTTGCTCCCTCTGACAAACATTATTGAGTAGCTGATCTGCTTGTCCAGCATGACTAGCCGATAGCCATAATCATAAGGATAAATAAACATAAATAACGTAAACACTTATCTAAAAATGTTGGTAAATTATATTTAATGGTTTTTCCTCTCTAATATTTCTCCCTGCAGACCAACAGGCCCACAGACAACCTGCAGGGAAGAAGTTGTGTCCAAAGAGCAAAACTGTTCAATGCACTGCTGTGGATTTTAATGTTGGCTGCAATCATCACTCTGACCACATACTGTAAGAAAACAATGCAACGCATCAATACAAGATGTATTTTGGTCAAATTCCAGATCTAACACTACCTGCTTCATAATCTATCCTTCAACACGATACTACAGCTCTCAGCATTAATGCATCAAGTTATGTTTCGCTGAACAGAAACTCATTTCAGCTTTACTACTTAACAAACAAAATATTTCTCAGATTGTTCATTTTATCTGTGTGACAAAAGTATTTATTTTATTTACTAGCATAATGATTATACATATCAATGTTTTTGGAACTACTTTCCATGCACTTTTGCATGAAAAATTCTTTATGGCGAGTAAAAGATCACAATGGTGCAATTTGATCGATTTGTCTCTGTAAAGTGCCTTTAGATATGATTGATATGTTTTGTGGAACGGTGTTGAATGGATTTATATTAATGTCTATTCTTACACTATAATAAGGCAATAGAGTAAAATTCAAACTGTAGTGGGCAGTGTTGGGAAAGTTCTCTTTCTACGTGAACTAGTTCAAAGTTCAGTTCACACATTTTAAAATGAACTAGTTCAGTTCATAGTTCACAATTCCAAAAAACGAACTAGTTCATAGTTCTTTTTTTTTTTTCATATATTGCTCAATTACACCATAGCCTACTGTAGAACCACAGACAGCAATTATTTTATCAGTTGTAACTCTGAAACTGTGCGTCAGATTTCATCTTCATATCCACTTTTGAATCCTTATCCAACCAGGGTTTACATTAGCATTGAGGGGACAGCATTTCCCCATTGTTGCTTTAACGCTTTGTTGCTGTCCATTCACTTCACACTAGTAGCAGCTGCAGCTTTCACCCCTACAGTATATTCTCAAAAACATCAGGAAAAATGTGCTGCTTGAATGGTCTTTTTTATGAGGAATTATTAAAAGAAAAACAGGAAAGTAGTCTTTAAGGTGCAAATGTTTTTTTTTTATTTTAATAATTTTTTCCATTTGAAATTCCATTTCAATACATACTAAAAAGGAATACTGGAATCCTGGAAAATTATACCAGGCAGGTTTAACAAACAAGTTACATGGATAGTAAAACCCTCAAGAACAGGGGTCTTCTATGTTTTCCAGACCAAGGACCCCCAAACTGATGGCGAGATGGAGCGGGGACCCCCTAACTATATATATTGTATGAAATTGTGTCCTATAGTCACTCTATTACAGATGGAGTAATGTAAAGAAATTAATTTCTCCCTGGGATTATTAAAGTGTTTCTGATTCTGATTCCTGGTTGTTGTGAAGGAAACGGTGCCCAGCTTGAAAGAGCTCCTGTGTGTCGCTGAATGTGTGCATTGATGACTGAAAGACATCTTCTGCCTCCATTTATCTGTTTACTACAGTGTGTTGATTTCATGTTAATGAGTATTTAAAGACATTTCAACTAGTGGGGGAAAAAAATGCGGGGGGGGGGGATATAAAAATATCAACTAACCATGCAGACCCTCATGCAGTACCTCCCTAGACCCCCTAGGGGTCGCGGATCCCCTGTTGAAGACCTCCGCTCAAGAAGATTTTACTAACACAAACTGAGGGACCAGGCTGAGGTAGGAATTTAAGGTTACTGAAGTGCGGATTTTTTTACTGAAAGCCGGCGGGCAAACTTGTTGCCATCATCCTCACCGACCACCTGGTCATAAACCTGTTTTAAGTGATCATACTGCTGCTTTGTCGCCTCCACGGTAGCCTCCATGCTGCTGCAGCTTCAACACTGCATTTTGTTTTGATGACGCACGCGGCTGTAGGCTACGACGCTGGTAGCTGGTGTTGCCAGATTGGGTGTTTTCCCCGCTACATATTAAGGCCTGTTTACGGTGTGATTTAGCCGGGGTTTCGCCTGGAGGGCTTTATAGAAATCTGGCAACCTATTGAACAGAGTTGAACTGAGAGAGCGTGCCGTTCACAGACACCAGAATGAACGAGTTCACAAAAACGTTCATCAGGCAATAATGCAGTACGTTCAGTTCACGTTCGCCCAAAATACGAACGAGTTCATGAACTTTCGTTCAATGAACGCGTTCAGGCACAACACTGGTAGTGGGGCTCAAAGCGACAATAATTTAGTCTTCATTTGGATCCACTGATGAATTTGTTGGGACTTTTTCCTCAGATTGCCATAAAGCCTTAACATGTGATACCACGTGCTACCTTCCAGCTGATATGGTGAAGATTATTGCCTGAATTGTTAAATTTTTTTTTTAACTATGGTATTCTCAGATTATTTTAGCCAAGGCTAAAAGAAAAGATCTTGATCAACTGCTGCAAAATAAGACTGTACATATGGCTGTAAACTGTTCTTAGTGAACCAGTATAAAGCTTTGCATTCAAAGCTGTAGTGGCTAAAGGTTCAGGATCGAGCATCGGCTGCTTTGTTGTTCTCCACTTAGAAAATGTCTAAATGTAAAAATTCATTGTACTTCCTTATTGACTTTATTTTCAAAAGCTTAATATTTTGTGTAAAATACCTTTTTTATGAAGCAATCAGAAGATGAAATGCTTTGCAATATAACTGATAAATATAGAACACATTTCTATATTTAAGGGAAGACTGAGGAGATTTCTTTGACAATTTGTAATTAAACAATTTTCTGAATTAAATACAGGTTAAAGACAGATTGGCAAATTTTAATTGAGATGTATTTGTCTTATAAATAAATATGTTACCTGTTCCATTGACAACATTTTTGTATATATATATATATATATGATTTTTAATAACCTCAGAAAGACTAGCTGGTGGGAAGGGTCAGCTAATGAGGATCTATATATATATAAAAAAAGTTAAACTAAAATCACTATATTATTTTTTTATTTTTCTTTTAGTCATCTTGGAGATGAATAAAGTGAAGAACAGAAATAGCCAACTACATGTTCAACTTTCAGGTAAAACAGATTCAACATTTACCAGCTTAACATATTCAGTCAGTAAATATTTTTGTTTTATATCCTTAAAAAATGTAATTTTCTTCTTCAGAAATGGAAGCCAACAACAGTCAATTACAAGCCAATTTATTAGGTAGGGCATGTTTTATGTTTTAAAACATTAAGAGTTGTCAAATATTTATATTTCCTTCATGTTTTATCCAACTAAAGTTATTCTTCAGAAATGGCAGCAAACAACAGTCTGCTGCAGGACAGCTATAAAAACCTCAGCAATGCTTACATACATATGTGAAATATTTCTAATAAATATTTACTGATGAAAAACAATAATTAATTCCCTAAAACATTTATCATGTTTAAAGGAAAGTGCTGTCCTGATGGATGGACAAGATTTGGATGCAGCTGTTACTACAAATATCACGAGACCAATAGCTGGTATGAAAGCAGGAGACGCTGTCAGGAAAGTGGAGCTGATCTGGTGATCATAAACAGTGAGGAGGAACAGGTGGGTCTGTTTGGTTAATATCAGTCTTTTCTTTGCAATAAATCTCATATTAATCTTTTTTTGGAAAGAAAACTGTCTGCTGTAACGTAAAGAAATGAACAAAGACAAAGAAAACTGGACACACAAAACAAAAATAATAAATCTCCCTATAAAGACTGTAGCTGAATTGAATCCTTCAAATCTCTCCTGCATGGCATCAGATTGAGTTTCAATTTTTATCTAAGGCGAACCAATCCACATGTTTTAAATAGTTTCTGTTCTAAGAAACTAATAAACAAACTATTTCATGAGGCAGAGATGTAGGCAGTAACTTTCTGCCATCCAGACTCCAGAACACGTCACAGTAAACCTGCTCTAGATGGTTTGAGAGTTTAAACATACTGAATAAATCAAGCAATATGCAAAATATGCTGCACTATTCCTTAGCATGAATTCCTAACATTCAGCTTCTAAAATAAACTAAGCTTTAAATTATAAATCTGTTTCACAAAACAATGTGGTGAAATGAAGACAAAGAGAATGACATAGAGGAGGAGAAAACAGTAGAGGTCAACACACCACTGAGCTTTAGCCTTTATCAGGGCACTGATTGGTTCAAAGATGGTGTTAGACCATGGAAAGACCTGAACCAGCTTAATAATGCTGAAATTATTAGAATTGTACAAGTCGAGGTAGATGAAAGCGGAGATGTCCGGATTGCAGTCTTGAATCGGTGAAAATAAGCTAGAAGACAAATTACAGAGATCCTGAACTCCTACTAGAGAACTTTCTGCAATCTATCGCTGTCTTAACTCCCCATCTAAAGGTTCAACATATTTAGACAATGTTGAGTTAGAAGGTTCTCTATTGTGTGCATAATAATACATTAGAATTTATTTTTTAGTTTAGTTTTTATTTTTCAGTTTAGTTTCTATTTTAGTCTCAGTTAATTTGGATAAAGATTTTACAGGCTGCACCTACCAAACTGAGAACAGTTAATAAACACCTGGAAAATAAAATGACTTTTATAGTGGCGCAAAAAAATATTATTTTAATTAAAAGACATTATAAGAATATACATTTTTATTGTCGTAAAAAAAAAAGAAATTATAATTTGCTGTTTAATGATAAGAGAGTCATTTTTAATGAAAACACTGCATATTTATTATTATTAAGGATTACCATTTTAAAATCTTTTCTCAAACAGGAATTTGTGAAAAAGCTAAATGAAAATGGAGAATCCTGGATTGGTCTTTATAACATGTTGATAGAGTCGACACGGACGCTTGGCTGGAGTTGGGTGGATGGATCACCACTGACACCAACGTAAGTTTCATCTTAAAGTCACTCAAATATAATCAACTATTGGAAGGTGCAATAATATTATTGTGTTGATGGTGCCATTGTGTTGCCATGGCTACAACTGTTGATCCACAATAATTAGCTCTGTCTTTTAATGTAAATGTTTGAGCCCTGTCTTTAACTCCAAAAGCATTTCTGCTGGATTCATTTAGGATTCTAAATTCAAACAAAAATCCATCATCTATTAATGTTAGACCCTGAGGAAAAAGAGAGAAAAAACAATATTCAAATTTGCTGCAACATGGATTCATAGAGCAGTAAATATATGATTTCTTATAGTATGTCATTTTTTTTAAAAGTTCAAGTAGAAACAGTTCATTTCAGTTGGTCTATGCTCACAATCATTTTGCTTACATATCTGCCTTAACTATGATCATGTTATTTAACTTAATTGATCTCACATTGGAGAAATTTACCTCCGCATTTAACCCATCCCCTTGGGGATCAGTGGACTGCCATCATAGGACGCCTGGGGATCAGTGTGGGGTTAATGGTCTTGCTGTGGGAGTGGGGCTCGAACTCAGAACCTCAGGATTCCAAGCTCTATGCCCTAACCACCAGGCCTCCACTCACCATATGAGTTAAATAATCAGATTTAAAAAGTGTACTTTGAGAATGACTCCTGCTTCTCTATAAAAAACCCTCAAATATCAACAGAGGTAAACTCTCTGTAATGATGGAGGAAAGCATTTAGTGAGGTGAAGGAATTAGTCAACAGGCTGCAGGAACTATAGTGTACCATGAACAGAAGCAGTCATACATGAAGTCCAAAGGCACACAGAGCTGAAGAGGTAAAAAAATGGAGTAAAGCACTAAAGACCAAAATAAATAAAGAACCTGGTACTTACTAATCCAGAATGATCCCTCACTGCCAGTTAAAATGACTGAAAGGTTTAATATATAAAATATTAAAGCCTTCTTCAGCACAAGCACTTCCAGGAAAGAATTAAAGAAAGTCAGGTTAAAGACACAGATTAAAAAAAGGATGTTCAGAATGAACATCTGGAGAGAAAATAATTCTGATTTCTCACCTGCCCTCTCAGCACATACCAAATCTATATATAATAAATAATTACACAGAGAAATGGAAAATAGGAAGGAATCTGACAAAACTTTAGTGATGTTTAAACAATTTTTTTTCTTTTACAGGTTTTGGGGAACTGGATGGCCAAAGAGTGGCAATTACCATTCAGCAACATGTTGCAATGATGAAGGGAAATGGACACATGCATATGACAGTGTCTCTAAGAACTGGATATGTGAGAAGTAACAATAACAATAAAAAACATGAAAAAGTTTTTAAAAGTTACTTTTCAAAATATTTCTTTAGCATTACTACTCACTGCTTACAGTTTGCCTCTAAGCTTATCCAGAGGGACATTAGAAGCACATGGTTACTGATGAAGCTTTGATGGAGGATGTTGTAGATTAGTGTCAAACATATTTTATATTCAGTAGCTCTCAGTTCTAAACTATATTTATTTTAGGTTAAACTTTATGAGCATCTGTTCCCATTGGTATGTTTATTTTCTCTTAATTTGAAATAAAAAACTAAAATTTCAAGTTAAAAATTATTTTAAAAAAATTATGCTCTGCTAAACGCTTTACTCCACTGGTCATGTCTTTTTTTTTTATTTTTTTTACCATTTTTAAGTTTTTAAATGCAGTTAAAAAAATACAGTTTGTGGCTAGGAGTGCAGAAATAACTTCTATAACTTGACTGATTCTGAAAACAGTCAGACATCAGGAGTCTTGCTAAAGCCGGGCATAAACTGTACGGGTTTTTGCCCATTTTGGGAGGATTCTCCAATTGTGCAAGAATTGTTTGGATTGGGCTGCTTCATTGTGCATCCTACGTCGGGTAGTATACAGGACGAGGGGCGATTGGCCACTCACAACCACTTTGCAATATATTGTGTGAAATGCACAAAAACTAATCTGTTTTGTAGATTGTTTTCAGTGTAGACATGAGTGACAGAAGCAAAAGACATGATTTTGATTTCACTTTTTTAATATAGTTTTGTCATTACAGTAACATTATAATAAAGGAAACATAGAAGCAGGAGAAAGATAACAAAATCATGTTGCATACCCACCTCTAATGGGTCTCATTTAATGCAAACCTTAATCTTCTAAAAAATTACATCCAATACGGTGAATTTTTTTTCCCGTTCTATTTTCTGTTTATTCTTCTATGTTAAATAAACATGGTGGAAAATAAATAAATAAAGATATTGTTAGGAAATATTTTTCGAGCCCTCAATTTAACAACAAATTGGTTTGATTCAGCATAAAAAAAATGTTTATAAAGTTTTTGTATTTATTGAAGTATATAATAAAGTATATAAACAAAGTATGTAAACAAATTACTTGAAAAAATTTTTATAAATGGTATGATGGGTTTGTTCTCTTATTACTGACAGCCTAGGAATGAGCACTGATTTTCTAAACAAACTTAATTAGAAACAAAAACAAAGTTAATCTTTCTTAATCAAATGGGAACTTAAAAGTGTTTCCTTGTAGAATGTAATTCAGCAGCCAGTGTGTAACTTCCTACTAACAGACATGTGAATTTGTTGTGTACTTGTTGCAGCGTTTTTAATGAATGGTTTGTAAATTCCCCCCTCAACTAAACACTGCTGCTCATAAGAAAAATCAATCAACAATAATCTATTTTACATTTTATGGTATTGAGTGTATTGGAATTACTTCAGTAATGCAACATTATTATTGGATTTTATACATTAAGTGTTTGTTGTGTCTAATGGCTAAACTGCCTAAGGCTGTTTAGTTATAATTTTATCCCTTTTATTTACCTGGTTCAAACAGCAGGGGGCAGCACATGTGGCTTATGACACTGGTAGGGTTTTAAAAGCAGGTATGCACCTTTTTTTGAATCAAAGCTGGAGAGAAAATTAGACATGCACCAATGATTAAGAACCTCAGTTCTGGTAAAGTAATTTTTTTAAACAACTTTGGAACTTTGGAATAGTTCTTAAAATTTAAGTTGGATTAATGGTCACAGATTCTTCCCAGCTTTTCCAGTGTTTTATTGTCATTACATTGTTACAAGTAGAGAGCAGCGAAGTTCACTCTCTGCATTTAACCCATCCCCTTGGGGATGGGTTAAATGCACTCGGGGAGCAGTGTGGGATTAAGGATTTTGCTCAGGGACCCAGAGTGCGGGCTGTGGGAGTGGAGCTTGAACTCAGAATGTCTAGATTCCAAGCGCAATGCCCTAACCACAAGACCGCCACTCCCCCCTTAAGTAGTTGCATTGGCCTGTAGTGCACCAATAGGCTGGTTGTATTTAATAGGCCTGTCGAAGTCTGAGTCCATTTGATGCTGCTTCAAGTTGTTTGTTTGGTTCATTCTAATATTGATTTTGTTTTAACATATGGGTCAAATGGTTTAAAGCATTATCTTGCTGTATAAAAAGTTAATGGGAGATTTAGCCGTTGGCCTAAACAAGGCTGGTGCTAAACCACAGAGAAATGCCCCATTTACAATTTTTCTGTTAGGGTCAAGATGTTTTATAGGTAAAGTGAGTTACGTTCAGCATCTCTTCTGCTTGTTGATACTTCCCGGATGGACTCAGAAATAAAATCCCCTCCAGATATGTTCCACAGAGGGAGATCCAGCATAACAAGGCAAGAAGA